TTCACAAGTCGAGTCTAAATTGGGAGCTCAGCTGCAACAACTATCACTGCAAATGCAGACACTTGCTAACGGTCTTCACCAAAACAGCGGCAAAGAGTCAGATGGGGGTACGAGTAATAATAACAATTATGGAAACCACTATTACAAAACTGATGATCAATCAGAACTGCAAGGAGAGTTTGAAGTGGCTCCACAGTACACAAAGACTAATTTTCAACTGCGAGCAACGTCTGGAGTAGTACCAAGGTACACAAAAATTGATTTTCCGACATATGATGGGTCAGAGGATCCACTAATATGGTTACACCGATGCGAGAAATTCTTTTTCCATCATCGAACTGATGAAACAGACAAGGTTAGTCTGGCTGCTTTTCACATGTTAGGTGAGGCGCAATTATGGTGTTATCAGATGGAGCAAGAGGAACCAAATCTCACTTGGAAGGCATTCAAGGAATATTGCACTTTGAGATTTGGCCCACCACTACGCGGAAATCCATTAGGTGAATTGGTTAATTTGTACCAGACTGGAACAGTTGAGGATTATCAGCGCCAATTTCAAGGGTTGTTGGCACGTGCTAGTACAGTGCGAATGGATCAGCAGGTAGACTTGTTTACTGCAGGCTTAATGGACTCACTTAGGCTTGATGTGGAAATGCAAAAACCTGCAAACCTTGTTCAGGCAATGAGTTTGGCACGAGCTTTTGAGAAAAAGCAGCAACTAGAAAGAGCGGCAGACATGCGAGGAGGGCCTTGGCAAAACACAAGCTCGAACACTAAAGGCACCAACAAGGCAACCACATTTTCCTCTCCTACTCTTAAAAGTAGCTTTGAGCAAGACGGGTTGATGGTGGCGGGTTCGAGTTTAAGTAGTGCAACCCCTCCGTTTATCAAGAAGTTGACTCGTGAGGAGATAGCGGAACGAAAAGCTAAGGGACTCTGCTACAACTGTGATGAACCATATTCATCTAGGCACCAATGTAAAAAATTATTTTGGCTGGAGGTAGAGGATAATGATGGCATTGACAAGTGTAGGAAGCCGGAAATATTCAACTTTCAAGCTTGAGGACAAGCTCTTTCTCCAAGAGGGGAGTAATGTTATGGATCACAAATTAAGGAAGTCAATGGTGCCAAAATGGGAAGGAAGACAAATAATGATTTTATTCCTAATTAGAGGAGTTAATTTTAGCAAGTATTTTCATTGCAATTTAAGTCCTTAATTTAGTTTTCTTCTTTTTGCAAGAATAATTTCCTTTGTAATCTCTATTTAAGAGAACAATGAGAAGAGAATAAAACAAGTAGAATTTCCATCCAAATTTATAGAGGTTTAAGGCTCTCTCTAACGAGTCTAAGGTTAGGAGCTCCCTTCAACGAGTTCCATATATATATATATATATATATAATCATAAGTTCTTCACGAGGCAAGAATCGTAACAAGGGAAAGGCTGCATCCCTCGAAGCAGATTTTCTTGTGCATCGCCCTGTGACTCAATCCGTGACACGGGAACATAACAGGTTTACAGACTTTGTTTGAACCAAACATTTTCTCAAAGCCTGGAGATAAAGCCATATATACTTCTTCTTCCAAATCTCCATTAAGAAAGGCATTCTTCAAGTCAAGTTGTTGTAGTGGCCATCTCATAAAAATAGCAAGAGACAGTAAAATTCTGATACTGTTCTTTTTTGCTACTGGAGCAAACGTCTCCTGATAGTCTATCCCACATGTTTGGGTATACCCTTTTGCCACCAATCTTGCTATGTATCTTTCAATTGACCCATTAGATTTGAACTTTGCAGTGAACACCCATCTACATCCAACAGGACTTTTGTTTTTTGGTAGAGAAACAATCTTCCAGGTCTGATTTTTTTTCAAGAGTTTTCATTTTTTCATGAACAGTTTATCCCCATTCTGGAATAGAAAGAGCCTCCTATATAGAATTTGGATGTCTATATTTGAAAGGTTAGACACAAAGGCTCTAAATTTGGATGACAATTTATGATATGACACATGATTAAAAATGGGATGTTTAGTGTAGGGGCAAACACCTTTCCAAGGGGCAGTGGGAATGTTAAGATCTTGGATGAAAGAAGATGAAGGATCAAAAGAAAATGAAAGTTCTAATTTACTTAATGTATTTGGGAAGGACTCTTGGCAGGTTTGTTGAGGTTAATTTTTTAACTTCTTGGTATTGCCCTCATGTATAGACCTTTAGCTCTTTGGATCCTTCTGGTATGATATCTTGCCCTATAGTTATAGGCACCATACAATCACTTTCGGGGTAAGGGTGTATTGGGTTAGGTAAAGGTGTAGGTTGAATCATAGTTTTTCAAAACTTTTTCTCATTGCTATAGCTCTTCTCTAGAGAAAAAGTTTTTTGAAAGAAAGAAGTATCCTCTATAAAGGTAACATCCATACTTACAAAAAATTTGTTAGTATGAGGGTCAAAACATTTATATTCTTTTTGAGTTGGAGAATAGCCAAGAAAGATACATTTGCATGCTTTAGGATCAAGTTTGCTTTGATGTTGATCATGTATATGGACAAATGCAACACAACCAAAAACCTTTGGAGGAAGATCCTCAAGGAGCCAAAGATTAGGGTAAGATTCCAAGAGTGTACTAAGAGGAGATTTGAATTGGCATATCTTGGAAGGCATCCTATTAATCAAATAAGTTGTTGTAAGGATTGCTCTCTCCCAAAAATGTTTAGGAACCCGGTAGTAAACATGAGAGCCTGTGCAACTTCTAGCAAATATCTATTTTCTCTTTCGGCCACTCCATTTTGTTGAGGAGTAGCAACACAAGTCATCTGATGGATAACTTCTTTTTCCAAGAGGAATGACCAAAGGACAAAATTGACATATTCTTTGCCATTGTTAGTTCCAAGGACTTGACTTTTTTGGAATTGAGTTTTGATCATGGTGTAAAATTGCTAAAATATTTCTGAGATTGCAAATTTGTTAAGTAACAAATAAATCCAGCACACATGTGTATGATCTTCAATAAAGATAATGAACCATTTGGCCCTAGAAATGTTTTCGATCCTAGAAGGTCCCCACAAGTCATTGTAGATAATGGAAAAAGGTTGGAATTGTTTGTGAGGGACAAATGGATAATTGTTGCGCCGATATTTAGCAAGTTGGTGAATATCACAATGAAAAATAAAAGTGTCTTTATTTTTAAATAAAGAAGGAAACAACTTTCTTAGGTACAAAAAATTAGGATGGCCAAGTCTATAGTGCCAAAACATGGTATCTTTATTACTAGAGGAAGAAACAGTCCCAGAAGTTTGAGCTTGTCCATTACAAGGGCTGTCACTATCTAATTAGTAAAGTTGATCAACCCGGTTAGCATTGCTAATCGTCTTCCCCGAAGTTATATCCTAAAATTCACAGTGAGATGAAAAGAATTTAGCATTATAATGTGAATCCCTAGTAAGTTTACTAACAGATAACAGATTATATGATAGTTGAGGAGCATGCAAAATGGAATGTGGAGTTGAAGTATCTGAAAGAACAACTAAACTTTTTTCCTGCAATAGGAACTAATAAGCCATTTGCAATGCGAATTTTAGAATGACCAGAACAAGGAGTGCAAGGGGAAAATAGGTGTGATATACTAATCATATGATTACTGGCACTTGAATCTATTATTTAAAGTGAGGAATCTAATTTAAGATGTAGGGTAGTAGGAATATGACCTTTAGTGGCAAGAGAGCAAGCAAGCTGGAGAGGAATCAGAATTAGTTTTAGATTGGCCAAGGAGATTATATAGATGTTCCAACTGTTCCTTACTGAATTGAGCTGTCTATAAGCTAAGAGGATCATTGGGTAATGTGGTCTGTAATCCACATGCTTCTCCTCTTTTATGATTCTTCACTGTGGAGGGCTTGCCATTGAGTTTCTAGCAAATCTCTCTCGTATGTCTTGGCTTGTTGCAATAATCACACCACCAATTATCATTCTCATTTCTTTTCTTTTTATTTCTTGAAATAGTAGATGGAGAACTAGTCTTATCACTAATTAGTGCCAAGGTTTCTACAAAGTGCTTTCTAGAGTCTTTCTCCTTTCACTTAAAAGTTTCCTTTTGCTTTCTGCTCCTCTAACAAGGGTAAAAGCCTTAACAAGATCAGGAAATGGTTCTTTACTTAGAACACTATCACAGATCTCTTCATATTCGGATTAAGACCTAGCAGGAATTGAAATACTCTCTCTTGTGCAACCATATCATTCAACTTCAATGTATCTTCAGTAGAGGCCATCTTAACATTTTGATACATATCAAGTTTAGTAAACAGACCTCAAAGATTGTTGGAGTATTCAGTAACATTTGAGCTACCCTGTCTTGTCTTAAAAATTTGCCTTTTTATATGATATACTTGAGAAGTAAAACCCAATTTTGAATAGGTTTTATTTACTGCCAACCATATATCCTTAGCTGTGGGTAGTAACAAGTAAACTCCTCTAATTTCAGGTTGCACAGTGTATAGAAGCCAGGACATAACAGTGGCATTTTCAATCTCCCAAATAGTCTAAGATGTATCAGTTTCTACTAGTGAATTCTCAGTACTTTTGAAATATTTATACTTTACTCTTCAAAAAATCATGACAGACTAAGACCATTCCATAAAATTCTTTCATTCAATTTCACATCACAGTTGAAATTTGAAGAGAGTGATTCTCTATTAAGGCAAACATTTCTTTTTTTTTTTTGACTTAATTGTCATAGATGAGACCAATCACACCAATAGAGAATGTAGGATGTGTAAGAAAAAATAGCCAAGAAAGCAATTAGGACTAGCAACTCCAGCAGATACTAGTAATAAGTTAAAAATGTAGAAGCCCTATGCACCAAACAACTGTAGGAAAAGAAATAAAACTTATCTATCGTAGCCTTAAACATAGAAGACTTCCTGCATGAGGGCACCAAGCTCAGACTGAAGATCTGAAGGTGATGGAAGTACAGGTCGAAGTCTTTGAAGTCATCAGATGTGATGGGTGAAGATGCAAAGGTTAGAGTTACTCACCAAAAAATCGTCGAGTCGTCAAAGGACCCCCAAAAAAAAAAAAAAAAATTAGCGACCAAATCTTCTCTTTTTTCAATATTGAACTAGATGCAACTCCTTAGATGAGAATAGAAGGCAAAGGACCAACGTTGTTGAAGAGATGGATGCAGAACTAGGTCAGGATACTGACTTTACCACGGGGAGAATGATAGTTGTACAAGGACAAGGAGTTCGCCTGACAAGAACTTGCAAAGACCTTCAACAAAGACGAGGTTAGTGAGAATGGTGACTTCAATAAAGAATATGCAAATTTCCGAGGTTGGGAAACAAGGTAATTAGGTTTAGGGTTTCTCCTTAGGCCCTGATCATTTGTAAAAGAAGAAGAATAATTTTTCCATATCTTTTATCCTTGGTCTTACACTGTATATATATACAAGGAATAACATAAAAAGTAAAAAATTTCTGACCTAATTTACATCAATTATAGTCAATTACAAATCTTACAAATCTCTCAAATCTCACTAATTGATCTGCACAATCTTCACAAATATGGAAACAAATCAACAGGGTTGAACATGGATTGTTGTGCATTGCATTGCTGAAGTATATGGTTTGAGCAGAATTGATTTGCACACTTGAGCGCACACATGATGTGCTTAAGGCCTGCAGTGACGTGATCTGGTTAGAAGGGACTTCATCCATGTGGCTACAATAAGTAATAGTTTTGGGGACAATAAATTAATGAGCTGAAGGTGATTTATTGACTTGTTTTGTGCTCTCTCTGAGTCTTTGTTCTTTTGTACCTTTTCTCATTCCGCTTTAGTTTGTTGCTTATTGAAAATGTTTCAACAAGTTTGATTTTACATCTAAAGCAGAAAGAAAGTGGAATTGAAAAAAAACTGCTATGGTCTCTTTAGGGAACTTATCAATTTGTAAGCCCTCTCATGCCTTCTTTTATGCTACTTTGAATACCTCTCTTTTTCCTTTTTTCTTTTCTTTTTTTTTTTTTTTTGGGGGGGGGGGGGGGGGAGTATACACCATATTTGTTACTGTATCAAGACCTAGCTTCTTCAAAAGTTTTATATAATTGATTTACCCAATTTTCTCGTATTTTCGAAGACCTAATATCTTGTCTTGTTCTCTGTCATTTTTGGGTCACCATCAGATTATTATTTTGTTTGTTATTTAATATACTCTAAATTAACAGGTACAGTGGCATCACCTGTGAAATGTTGAATGGAGTGACTACCAATCTTCAGGATATTCAGGTTTGTAATTTCATAATTCTCTTTGTTTCTCTTTTTTTTAATGCTAGTTTAAGTTGCTAAATATGTGTGCCTATTTAGTATAGACACACAACTGAATCATAATATAAGAACTGGGAAAAATTAGCAAAGGAATATGGTGAACTATTTACACTGTAGAATAACTGTGATTATGAATTATTTAAAAGTTCTAAATCTTTTATTTGATATACTTGTACCATGGAAGAAAGTTGCATTTATGTTGGTTGCATGATAAGTATTAGGGACAAAGTTCTAGTTACAATAACTTTTTGGAAGTATGCATATGTCCAACTCGCTGTGATTACTTGAGCATATTGGTATCTAGTAAGGATGCTATTCTATATGATTATTTCTGCTATTTAGAAGTCTTATATTCTAAGCATTTTCTTGTTTTCTACAGATTTTTCTGATTTTTTTTACACTTGCTTCCTATCTACAGAAAGAATTTCTCCAATTGGTCTACAAAGAAACCATTCTGGTTGGACATTCCCTGGAGAATGATTTGTTGGCATTAAAGATTTCTCATTGCCTGGTGATTGATACAGCAGTATTGTACAAGCATCCCCGTGGTGGATCCTATAAAACTGCACTTCGTATACTCACCAGCAGATTCCTTTCCAGGGAAATACAGGAGTCAGGAAGTGGGCATGATAGCATTGAGGATGCAAGAGCCGCCATGGAACTGGCACTGTTAAAGATTAAACATGGCAAGTGGTCTATTCTATTTTTGCATTATAACCTGCCACTTTGCAACTAAATAACTGCTTAGCTGAGGTCTAAACTTGATGTGCACTTTATGTTTACATTATATGAAGAGCAGGATTGTTAACCTTAAATGAAAAATTAAACCAATAGTCAAAAGCATTGCACATTAATTCATTTTTCTTCTGATTTTGTTTTGTTTTATTTTGTTATATTTAAAATTTTGGGGCTTATCATTGTTCAGCGTAAGTTCTAAGTTTGTGTCTGCCTCGTGAATCAATTGTGATGTCAAAACATTGATTAATGCAGAACTCATAAGCTTGATAAAAGTTAATTTATTTTTGTGGGGGTATCAATGAATTGTTGCATTATTGAATGATGATCAACTTTGTTTAAGGAATAATGTTCTCATGACAAATTACCCTAAAGTGAAGGATTCCTAAGTGGAACAAAAAAATCTCAATATGGAGCAGTTCCTTGGTCTCTTGATGATTTGATTTGTGTATTCACATCAGCAAATTGCATTATTTTTGGTGTTCTTGCATTTGGAGTCAAAATACGGGCGAAATTAAACCCAAAGGTTATGGACTATCAAATCTTTTTCTTTAGGTACATCTGTACGTGGTATGTTTTCTTAAATTGCTTAATTATCTATCCCCATCTTTGACTTGGTAGCACACCATTTTGGTGTTTTTATTTTACTCTGACTTGGAATACATTTTTATGTAATAGAGGGATTCTAAAGTGGTGAATTAATTTCAAAGGAAAGAACAGATTAAGCTTTTTGCTGGAAATGGTGAACGGTTTTTATAATTTCTGTAGTCTATATTTTGCATATTGCAATTGAGCATGCAGAAGTTTGATGCCTTTTCTAATAGTGTAGACTAGCTGCTTTTTGCCACATATATGTTAAATATGCATGTGATGTAGGAGTTTTACAATTTAACTTTTTATTAATAGTTTATTGTTTATACAAGATTTTTAGACTTGTATATATGGAATTCTTAGTCTTCACTTTGTTAGTAATTTTACTCTCTTTTTTCTTGGAGTAAATTTCTCAAAATCTGTATGTTTTGAAATTAGGACCTGGTTTTGGTTCTCCTCAATCATTCATGCGGAAGAAGCTCCTTACAGTCTTAAGTGAAAGTGGTAAAGCAACCAGTTTGATTGATGATATTTCCATAGTGAAGCGTTATGCTTCTGAGTCATCCCATAGCATTCCGGTATTCTCAGATGATGAAGCCCTTTCAAAGGCCAACAAAGAGGTTAGTTGATAAATTCTTGTTTTCCAAATATTTTCCAAAACCAATGTTGAAGAGCAAATGGCTGGGGGAGGGAGATGAGGGAGTGGCCCTACCACCACTAGTTTACCATTTTAGCTGTTTTATCATTTTAGGTTAGAAATGACAAGGTACAGTTTGTCTGGGCCCACTTCTCTGAGTTGAACTCCTACTTAAAGAAACAAGCAGAGGATGTGGAAAAGTTTAATGGAAAGCTTGCAGAGATGATATCCTTGCTTACATGTAATAAGAAGTCTGCTGGAAGAAAAGGCATCAAATACAGTGTGACATCAGAACTTAAGGAAATTCTAATTCGGTTGGATGCTAGAGTTAGAAGCCTCCATTCCAGTTTGCCTGCCAATGCCATGCTTATTGTCTGTACTGGTCATGGGGATACTGCAAGTGTTCAGAGGTATGTGTTCATTCATTTGCTTTTGCTGGTTATTTTGAGGTCATGATACTGCAGAACTTCCCAGTTTCATTTACCTGTTTGTTTATGGGAAAAAAAGGGTTAGGGCCTGGGTGGGAGCTTTCTGGAATTGGAAAGCAATGTAACTTCTGAACACTTGACTTACATATATACTTACCATATCTATTTCAAGATCATAGATATGCAAGTCAAATGAGCTTTGAATCACAAATTTTTGCCAATGCCCTAAATCATTAGCTTCTAAGAAGCATGGTCATGGACATGGATGCATTGACATGGCAACTTTGGGAAGCTTTGGGCACTGCCATGGTGGGGACATTTCGAATTTTGCTGATAATTGAATTAAGTGTACCAGATCATTGAATTGACAATATCCACTCAAACGTACAACTAGGAAATTTTTAGTAAAGTTGTTTATTATGGTTCCCAAAACTCAGTCAACTTCCATACCTTATACTCTAGCATCTTTTATTTGATTCTCGTGTCTTCAAGTTTGAATCTTTGTTTAGCTACTAAAATTTCTGAATTTTTTCCCTTCTTTTGCATGGGCTAAGATTGAGAAAAATGCTTACGGAGCAGACTGAGACTGCAATGTGCCGTGAGAAACTTGTAAAGGTCTTGGAAGAAATGCAGGCCCAAGCTGAAGTGGGTTTATGTTTTGTAGGTGTGAAGCATTGAGTTCCCAGTGCAAATTGTAAGAAAATAATTTATGGTTTTGCAAGTTTTATGTCCTCTTTATGCTGTATCACTAGCAGTATTCGTTAGACATAATGTGGTGTCGGCAGATGTGTCCCGCTTTCTCGGTTTTAATTAACTGCACATACCACAGCGTAAAGCAGGGCAAATTTTGAAGGTATACCAATTGCATTTTTAGTTAACGACCCCTTCCCTGTGTTTGAGGTAGAAAGAGAAGAAAAGAAAACAAGCAATTGATAAGTTTGTTTTACTTTAGGAAGGGAAAAAAAAATTAGGTGTTCCAAAATCATTAGGATTTCAGCTATGTATTGCAGCCAAGAACTTGCATGTGAAGAGAAAAAACAACGGAAAGTTAGCCAATATCAGCCTAGGAACTTTTGATGTAAGTGCTTTGTTTGGTCCGCAAGGGGATTAAACCTAATTACTCCTGGTAGGTTTGCGATTTAAACTATATGGTTTTGTAATTGAATCCTATTAAGAAAACTAATTTCTTTGTGGAGTTGGAGTTCTTAATTTTTCTTTGGCAGTGCTTAACCGTTCTTGGACGACTTTGATATGATTTAAATTTACTTTTTACCCATTCCGTGACAGCATTGCGTCATCTAATTGGATGGCTAGTTTTTGTAAACAACTTCTTACAGTGTCTGAGAGTAGAGTTCAATGCGATTGTTCCTTTGCATCATTTGTCGGTCGCTTTATGATTTATCTCGTTGTAAAACGTTTGGAGAAATAAAGTAAAAACTATAGGAGACGGTAGAAAATAGCCGAGTGGGTGGTTTAATGAAAATAAAGAATAATCGGGTCTTCGTCTTGATGAATTGTAAGGTTGCTCCTTCCTAGGTGTCTCGTGTTGGTGGCTTGTCCAGGGGCATATTACAGGATCTTGCTCGACCCTAACTTTTACTCTTATGACAGGGTCACGTTTGTCCAAATATATAACATAAACTAAATTTATTGGTTAGCAACCTCTATAAGTCCAATAATTAAATATAAGGTATAACATAAACCAAACTCGTAACAATTTACATGAGTCGTAACATAATCAAATTCAGAAATAAAAAGGCAAGTCGTTTCACATGCTTATAAAAAGGTTCAAAAACTGAAATAACTGACTAATAACAAACAATCATAAATTAGAGACTAGTAGCCAAGAGGATGGCTAAATGCGATGCGACTCTCGGAGCACAGAGGCACTGACTCTTCAAATTTCAGACTTTGCAAGGACTAAAGAGTAGAGAGACAAAGCTGAGATTTTTTAGAGAGAGTATCTGAAACAAAAAGAATGGGGCATCAATAGATTAGATCAAGACTACTATTATTTTGTACTTACAGTTAAAAGTTTACCAACTCGGCTTTCTAAAATAAGTTTTTACATGGGTCAAAAAGGATCAAATTCGGGTTAATGGGTTCGAGTTGACCTAATTAATCCCATTAATTTTAATTGGGTTATTTTGAGTCAATTTCAAGTTTGATGTTACACTCTTATTTTATGCGTGTTAATCGGGTCAGTCTTCTAGTAATCCATTTTCATTTAAGTACAACCCTAACGCAATTACACTGATCGATTTCATGTCAAATTTGCGGGTCGTATCGGATATTGACCCACCTAGTCGTTCCTAACTCCCCAGCCACGGATTAAAGTCGCAGCATAATGTACAATAATAACCCTGCGTAAGGGAGTTGAAGTAATGACTAACACAATGTACAATAATAACCCTGGGAACATAGCTGAAGTGACGAAAATGCAGTATACTATAATAACCCTGGATACGAAGTATCGTGGCCTAGGATGCCATTTTTTATTTACATATAAAATTGTAGATAACATTTTAAAAATATTGTGAGAGAGTATAAATTTAGGAAACTAGTAAAATATGGAATTCCAATATCCTAATTTAAGAAAAGAATTCGCATTCAAATCATATATAATTTTGTTTCTGCAAAGCAAATGTTCACCCCTATTGTGATCGTGCTGCTCAGGCTCAACAACTAGGAACAAGGTAGGTATCTGCAATTTCAGGAAAAGAGAATCGTATGGGAAATATTTGCCGGTAAGAAAAATGCCGAGGACTTGTTAGTAAAAGCTACTGAAAAAAATCTACATTCGAAAACCTTTTGAATGTTAGGCACTTCCAAAACCATTCTGGACCCTGTTCACCAAGTCAGCAAATAAACAGAACAAGATTTAGTTCTATAGCGGTAAATGTATACACTAGTTCTAGTATCTGAGCAACCTACACTCTCGATAAGTCTGTCTTATTTTCACCAGATTATTTATATGACCATCCATCATGATACAAAACAAAGCATAACCAATAATAGAAGCACTAAACTATTAAGTCAGAATGGCTTGTGACCAAACATTGCAGCCTTCTATCCTATTACCTCCATGCTGAGGCAACAACCAACACTTTGTCTTCCCACCCAAAGTGGAGGGCACCCAGTTCCTCCTTCACCTGGTACCTGTCACAGTACTGCTTGATAAGTTTTCTAATTGATTCTTTCACACTTGAACTAATTGGTGAAGTAGTGAAACCTGCCATCATCATCCGGGCATTCCATTTCCCTGCAACTTCATACCGTTCTATTCTTTCCTCTCCCTCACAAGCAACAATATTCACAATGTCACGTGCCAGACATTGCTTTTCTACATTTAACCTGTCCTGGCTATCCCTTGGAAGGGTTGCATCGAGAGAGTCAAATACAGAAGAATAGTAACTGTAGGCTTCGCCAAACCTTTGTAAAAATGGTGCAGTGTTGGTGTTCATATCTTGTTCAACAATTGTAACAAGTTTTGGGTTCAAGCCCTTAACCATCCGAAGAAGCTGGTCCCGCTCATTCACGGTGGAAACGCTCTCATCAGGCATGTGGTGGAGCTGAAATGCAAAGTTCACCATGATGGCTTCACCAGCCCGACAGCCCAGCATTTCAGGAAACACAACCGCGGTCTTTGCCGCCACTGCATGGAACTTGAATGACACGTTAAGATCTTCTGCTAATTTCTCAAGCCTCTGGCCAATGAGCTTTAGCCCTCCAATAGCACGTTGAACGGATTCGGGGTCATCAACACCTGTCAACCTCAAGTGGGGCCGCTTACCAGGAAGACGGGCAATAGTTTGTATCAGTGTTAAGTACTGACTCCCTTGATTTATGTCGAAATCTATTATATGGACCCGCTTTTCATTCTTGACCGCTTCAATGATTGCTTCATTTGCTGCCATAAAGCCAAACCTGAAACAAGGGCAAACCTCAAAGAGGATTTGCATGGCAGACAATCTATCATTAGAGGGGGGCTCTTTACATTTTAGAGCTTTATAAAGGCCTTTGCCTGACTTAGCCATTCGAGACGCTAGAGCTTCCACCATGTAAGCAGCAATTCTCTGGGATGGCTCTCCTTGGATTGATACTCTCTGGCGGAGATCATTTATCATGTTTGAGGCTTCCTCAATGTGTCCCTCTGAAATCATTGCTGCACAATAAAAAAGCAACTCCTTGGGCGTCTGAGGAGATGATGTCAGTGATACATCCTTATAGCTAATGCTGCTAAGATTAGAATCTGCAGAAGAAGACTCCTTTGGCGAATCATGTAGCAGGGCATCACAGATTGGGTCGGCCCATTTACCATTAATCTCCATGCTACGATCAGGGCCAAAAGCATCTTCTTCTTCATCGACATTATCATCCAGAAGTGCCCTCTCCAATTCTTGAAGCTTCAACCTCATTTTATCTCCATTGTAATCTACAGTGTCTGCACTATGACTTTCCAAGTACTCAGACCCAAAAATATCCTGTTGTCTCATAGCCATAAAAGAGTTAAATGGATTTTGTGAATGAAATTGATTTACTGAGTGACCAGAGCCAGATAAATTCATAACTTCTTCTGTTGGGGAGTCAAGAAAGTAATTTGGATCATAGCTGTCACTGCTGCAAGATTCTGTTGCATAAATCATCTTATGCTTATCAGAGTTAAATATTGAACTGGAGATGCCAGGGCTGTCACTGCTTCCATTTAGAGCATAGAGTTTTGGATTTGCATATCGTCTTCCATATTGATCTTGGGATCTAACTAAAGACATTATTAAGTATAACTCTCAATCAGCAGACTTTAAGAACCAAATATTCAGGTTCATGTAACTAACTGTCTCCCACTGTACAAACCCGCCCAAATAATATTCTCTTGCAGAGTCTGATGAAGCTGCTTGCAGTTGAAATTACTTTGAATAACTGGTATGCCCGTGTTCAACCAATGGAAAAGCTGTTGGAGGGAAAATAGCTAAGAGAACCAAAATGGTAGAAATTCATTAAAAAAAAATGAAGCAACTCAACAAAATGCCAGATATATATACAGAAGTGGAGTGTGAGCTTAAATGTTTGTGCTTATGTTGCAATACTCTGAATTTAGATACCACTCGATTGTTTAATTATTGGAAAGATCTTGGTTGATCAGGCATGTTATCATAAAGCAAAAAAGGCAATATCAATCTGCTTCTGCCCAAGTGTCAGAAGAATGTTAGGAGCATGAGTGATAGATATTTTGTTTTCAAAAATATTTGTCACCTGGAATAAGTATATATTCCACATGCATGTCTGCTCTGGATGTGGACAGATCCACAAGTAACCAATTAACATGCAAGTCCTGGCACCAGAGAACTCCTGATACCAACTAATCTAAATACAACATCACCTTCATATGCAAGTCATACGTAAAACTACTAAACTTAACAGAGATTTGAATAACATATATTCAATTTCTGTTAAAAAGAGTTTGTTGACCATCTGAAAGTTCTAGGTGCACTGTGTGACAATACCACGTTTCACAAACATCTATATACAATGTTTAAAAAAAATCAAGTTTATTATTAGTTGTTGCTCATTCCTGTTCACTCTAAAATATCTGACTATCCATATTGAGCAGTGAAGAAATTAAGACAGGTTTATGAGGTGAATATGAAACAACAAATGCCAAAAATGGAGCTCTGCGATGAGCATCAAGTGAAAATTAAATTTTCAGATGTTTGGATATCAGTCAATTAATGTCATCCTACCACCAGCATCCACATCAAAGAAGGCGTAAGCTTTCATCAAACGTAAAATTTGTACTTAGCTCTATACAAGATTACGGATCTTCAATTCTCTAATCAAGGCTGATTCTTTATAATTGGCAAAGGGAAAAGTCTAGGTTGATTGAGAACTTTGTTGTTTCAATGCTTTACTAGAGGACTGCAAGGAGCAACATATATTGCAGATAAAGATTTTGTTGAATGAAAATTGCACAGCACATGTCGCCAATAAAAGATGACTACACAAATTATTATCCAGAAAGTTCAATTTCTATGACATATCAGTATGGATAACCACAGTGGAACTTGAGGGCAACTACCTTATAAGACCCTCCTAAAGCTTCATTAAAAAAAATTTTTGCCCAAAAGAAGATTTTGAATTTCAACAGAACTGAGAAATCAATGGTTAAGAATGTTGCAGTCTGATCAATCAATGACCATTTTGATAGTCTATAATTCAGCACCAGATTGTAGACTACTGATTTCTCAATGGCTTTTTCCGAGTCAATCAAAGCAACAAGAGCAAATTCACAAGGATCAACCATATACATTAAGCAGTCACAAGCCAAATTGAAGTAAGGGCTAAAGCTACATCAATCAACATTTGCAAATAAAGTATCCATACCAAACAACTAGAGATGCATAAAGCTTGGGAACAAACGGGAAGGAGAAAAATAACAATTCAAAAGCCACGCAACGGAAAAGATAAAAGAAAGCAGGCATATCTACCTAAAGTATAGGGATTACACCAAGACGAGGCAACAAAGATCATCCCCTCAATCCAAACCTGCAATTCCACAAATACCCAAATGGACAAACCTCCCAATTAGCTCCGAGCTGGAAGCTAGGGGAAACCCTAGGGTTTTGACCGAAGCAAACATACCTTTTGTCTGCCATCTTTACGTTATAAATCAAACGCTCACGGAGGTCAGGTTGGTCGAAAAGCAGCAGACTACACTATAAAACAAATCAAAGAAGTCCAAAGAAGAACAAACTTCAGAAACAGAGAATTGAAAAATTAGAAAAATCAAATCAAATGAGCGAGAATTATATAAACAAATATTAGACTTGATGAAGGAAGGTTCAGGGTTTCGGATACCCAATTTCAACGTTACGAACCGATCAGAATTCCGACACCCACTTGCGAAAGACCACCGCAAAGGAAATTCTATCATCTGGAACCTGAGGAATTGGATGAGAAACTCACCCTTCAAAATATTCTCGCTGAATGGAAACTTCTGTTATTCATTTCTTGTTTTACTTTTCGTCCAAGTCCCAGTGCTTGTCTGCATGTCCACACCAACTTTGTCTGACTCCTGGTGTTATTGACGGTGTAGCCAAAAGGCGGCACTATTGGTTTATGGGTGTATGGCTAAAGGCGTCCCCACTTTCACCAAACCATCCTGACCGCTTAACATCATTCAGTTTTGACCTTTGAAAGAACAAGAATTTACGTGTCCGTGCTAATCAATTTCATTTTTATCTTTCAATAATGCCTGTCGGGATTTATGTTCTCTTTTTCTGTTCTCTATTTTCAGTTTTTTACTCTTTTTTTAGCATTTGTTAAAACATATAAAATTGAAATCCTAAAAATTATTGTTTTCATTTTAAAATGGTTTGTAAAAACTATAAAAGCCATCGTCAGTAATTTTCTGAAAATAAAATTGTATTTTTGAAAATTCTTAAAAAAAACGTTTTCTGATATTTGGTTTTTTTTAAAAAAAGTCTAACTTTTTTTGCTTAACTAATTATAAAAAATATTTTTATATACTAATTGTAAAAGATATAAGGTGAAAGTTTCGGTACATCTTCCAAAAAGAGTGTACCGAAACAATCTATCATCTCTTACAAGTTTCCTCTGAAAATGACAAAAAAATTTTAAAAATATTTATTTGGCACGCTTTTTAAAATAACTGAATTCTAAAATTTGACTAATTGTTCCGGTACCCTCTTTTTTTAGAAGGTAGTAGAGTGTTCACCAAGATATCATTAATAAGTATTTTTGATAATATTTCTTCTTTTATAATGTAATTTATCTAAATGTTGAGATAAAAATAAATAAAAAATTTTTAAAATTAACAAATAATAAAATTAAATTCTAAAAAATTAATATTAATTTTTTAAAAAATTAACTTTTTTTTTGTTAAACCAAACAATTTTAAAATATAAAAAATTCAAAATTCAAAAAAACTATTTTTTTTGTCATACCAAACCCAACGTGAGACACCCAAACCCAACAAAAAGATGCACAGATTGGTTGTCCTGGGACACGTGTACGGTGAGGTTTAGAGAATGTTATCCCATTTCCGTTGTGGTTGGTGACGTTAGATTAATACAACCCCCGTTATGTCCTCCGTAGCATCGAATCATGGCCCTTTACGACAGGGTCAAAGGTTAGCCTGTTTCCCACTGGTTCAATCCTTCCACCTTGTTGAACATTCACTATAGTTATTACATCTACCCACTCCCCGGGATAGTCAAAGCCGTGTTGATGGTTACGAAGACAAATAAGCCCACCAAAATTTCCGGGCGCAGCGCGGAAATTCTTGGAAGCGAAGGGCAATGAAGTCATTTTGCTCAAAGTTACTTGCCTAGTTGGGCAGGGCAATTGTATTCTTCTGCCTGATTTCTTTAGTGGGAAATCACTCGTTCTTCGTTCTTTCTGACGCCAGGGCAGTCACTCTTATGCGAGGGATGAAATGACCGTTGTACCCTCAAGTGTGAAAAGAATCTTACCAGCCCCAAGGAAACGACGAGGACAGGTGGGAAGGAGCTAAAAAATTTGGATTAAAATAACTTTAAAAGCATAAAAGCACACAGTTTATGTTAAAAGTCCTAGTCATCTTTGCCATTGGTTTACCTTACCACTACAGGAAATCGTGCAAGCAAAGTTAGCCATTCAATTTATGCTGCAACTAATTTTATATATTTGTCAAAATAATTAAATTTAAAATAATTATAATTACTGGATAATTGCATGGAATTATCATCTTTGTGTTAAATAGTATTCTTATAATTCTCGCCCCATTTTCGTCAAATAGTGTTGTGCCTGTTTGTCCTTACTTACAAAATGGCTTAAATATTTTATTTCTTGATCTAAAAGTATTCTTATAAAAATTCCTAAATCCACCTCCATCTCGATCATATTTGAGTAAACTTCACAAGTGCTTGTTAAATATGAATAAAATTACCAACTTTACTTTTAAATTCATCTCTATTTCATGCGTATCTAAATAACAAAACGTTCACAATTTTTAAATGTAGTGGTTAACTCTTTAATTAGGATTAGAGAGATTGAGATGGCAACTGGACCTAGATCCAAATTATTTTTTAAAAATTATCTATGTGGGTACGTGACTAAATACAATTAAATAGATCTGGGTCTAGATTTGAAAACTTAGATAAGTATCTGGATAGATTTAAGTATTATAATATTTATTTTATTCTAGACTCAGTATTTATTAAAACACACATATATAATTATTCATGATAATTTTAATTTTTAAATATTATAAATTTTAATGTTTAACATTTTTAAGATTAATGGATTATGTTAAATTTTTTATTTTTCATAATGTTATTATAAAATTATTTTAGTTATTTTGAATGTTTACCGTTTTTGATATAGAATTATAATATAGATTCATGAGTTTAGATTTAGATAAATAAGTATTGATTGAATCAAGTATGAAAATTTAACTATAAATTTGTATAGATCTAAGCCTGAGTTTAAGTTTATTTTTCCAGTGCGAGGCTCGTCTAGTATTATGAAGCATGTCTACTACCCGCCCCTTGCCGTCCCCAAGGGTGGGATAAGATCTTCGCTCTATCTAATTATTTACCCGAATTGTTTGTCCACCACGGATACGACAACGATTGTAACGTTTACGTTGTTGTCGATGAGGGATAGCTGGCCTCACGAGTGACGCATGCGTAGCAATTATTTTTCAGAAATTACAAAAATAGATTGTCATCAAACTTATATTACAATTTAGATGATAACAAAATTACTAATAAATCAAATTAACAAGAATTGGCATACAAATCAATAAAAATAATTATATAATTCAAATATATTAATATTACTCATTGAATTATATATTTCATTACTCAGTCACTCTTTCCAAAAAAGATTGCTGTGAATCCTAATTCGTAATAAAACATGATCGTGATGTTGTTTTTTAGTAAAACAAGATAGTGATTGCCCTTGAATAAGTAGCTTCTAAAATAAGCAGTGATTATGTAATTCAAATATTTTACAAAAAAATTTCGCACGGTTATCAATTCTAACGAAGACCCAGGAGACAATTCTAAACTGGTTGAGGGTGCATGTGGTGTGTGAACTCCTAGGGAAGACCATAAACCTTTAGTAAGCTATGTACAATCAACATTCTTTTGATAACGTTGGAGTCATCAGCATTCTAAAAGTATCCATCAAATCGTTAAATAACCATGTTATGCAATATTAGGAAAAATTTATTTTTACCTTCCATGTTTTCCAACTGTAAAATCGTATGTGTGCTTTTAAATTTTAACTATTTAGTTTTTCCAACAAATTCGGAGAACACATTTTAGTCAATAAAAGAGCATTTTAGTTTTTAAACGGGTAATAATTAAATTAAAATAAAATGTGAGAGATAAAAATATTATCAACTCTTGATTAAATTTATATTTTTAAACCTTCATTAACATAGTCAATAATTGTGACAAGAGTCAAGCTTCAAAATGACAAATCATAAATTAAAATTTTTATATAAATTATACATTCCTAAACACTCACAAACAATAGAGTTCATTAATAATAATTAGAAATAATAAAATCTCCCTCGAAATAATCCAATAGCTCTAAAGAAATCACTGAATTATACATTTTTTACAATCTTGAGCCTTCAACACCTATCAAATTTTGATACACAAAATATGCACACTTTAAAAAGTGTATATATTATTATTACTCCTACTATTACTATCATAGAGAGAGTGAATAATACCTAATAATAATTTTTTTTTTCTAAAAAAAGATAAATCAATGCCAACAATTGACACTGTTCAAGGAGTTACACTCCCCTAAGCTAAGCCTATGGCTAAACCAATTGATATACTCTCGATACTATCATCTTACTCCTAAACTTATTATTTATATTATTACCTAAGAAGATAAAGACAATTACAAGTTCAAACCTATCTAATAAAACAATTGATTCCCTATCTCTCTAAACAAACTCAAGCATATCTCAAATTCTAAACAAAATCAATTATTAACTCTTCATCATTCTTATCTGTAACAATTCTGAATCGGTTAAAGAATTGCCTTCTCCTCAAGGTGAAATTTGGGAAATTGTTGAAGAAATTGATTGAGATCAATCCAAGTTGTCTTTTCCAATGGCTAGCCCTTCCAAGTCACCAACAACAGGAAACAAGAGTGATTTTGTCACTTGAAACATGGTAGAAGATGCGGGGAACTAAAGGATTGCAACTAACTATTCAAACTATTTGCTAGCTTGTTGACTGTAATACCACTTAATCAACTCATTAGTGAGTATTGTCCAAGACATATGAGGATGGCTTTGACATAACAATCAAAACCAATGTAATGCAGTGCCTTGCATACTAATCATCACAAGCCCACCTTGTGATTTTCCCTTGCATGATGCATCTCGAAATATTGTATGGCACTCGCAATCCAACCCAATGGAGTGGTGCTATCAAAAAGGGGTAAATTAATGGTGTGTGAGGTTAGTGGAATTGGTGGCAAGGCAGTTGAGGAGGAAGGAGCCTCTTGTGGTGGTGAAGTGGGTGCCGAGGGTAGAGAAGATGATGAAGAAGGAACCTCTTGTGGTGGTGGGAAGGGTGAGATAGTTGGGATGAAATTGAAGTGAGTGTGGGGGCTGAATTGGTAGAAGGTGGCTTTGACTGGTTAAGAGGTGCAGGAAGAACCTTAGCAATATTTGTTACCTCAGTTTTGATATACTAAAAGGAATCATTAAGCTTCTTGTCCACTTTTTTTTTATGCACATCCAACCTTGCCTTTTGCCTCCAAAGCATATACTATTCTCTCTAGAGTTTCAATCCTTACTCCCATTCTAGTATCCGACAAGTTAGACCAATTGATAGAGAGTGAATGGTATCCAATAATTGATTAAAAAAAGGATAAATTGATACCAATAATCGACACTGCCTAAGGAGTTGTACTTCCCCAAACCAAGTCTATGGCCAAACCAATTCACATACTCTCAATACTCTCACCTTACTTCTAAGTTCATTATTTATATTATTCCCTAAGAAGGTAAAGACAATTACAAGTTCAAACCTATCTAATAAAATAACTTATTCCCCATCTCTCTAAACAAACTCAAGCATATCTCAAATCCTAAACAAACTCAATTATTACCTCTGCCATTTTTGTTCGTAAGATACTGCT